ATTCTCATTAAAAAATGAAATTCTTTCAATGTACTATTTTAATATCTTAATAAGTATTTCACGTCTATTTTTATAAAAGTTGTTTCTTATTATTCAAAAGTATTCTCAAAATATTCATGCTTATTTCTAAAAGATGCTTCTCATGAAACAATTCTCATTACTTATCATTTTTTAAAAAAATATCTCTCATTCATTTTTCTATATTGAAACCTTTTTTCACATCTAAATGATGAGTCTTAAAAATAAATTTGTCATGTGTTATTCCAAGAAGTATTTTCGCTCATAATTTATGAGATATACATCTCTTGCATTCTTACAAGGAATGTTTCCTACATTTCAAGAGATAATTGTCGAGAAATATATCTTATTTATTTATGTATAATTCAAAGAAAATTTATCTAAGAAATATTTGTTACCTAGCATTCTTAAAATTAAAAAAAAAAATCAATATGCTACTTTAAAAGCCACTTCTTATGAACTCTTTGAAATATATTTAAAAAAATTATGATGTACCCGCATTTTTTCTTAGAAAACTTTTTCTATATTTTTTTAAGAAGAGTTTCCAGTATTTAAAATAAATATATTTTAAAAAAAGTATTCCTTGAACACACTTTCAAGTAATGTTTTTCGTGAAGAATTTTTCATTATTCTTTCAAAATGATTCTCATATGTTACTCTACGAAGCTCTTCTCGTTATGAAAAAAAAATCCAAACTACTAGCATATCATTTTAACAAACGGTTTATGAGCAGAAATATTTTAAAAAAAAAATAAATATATTTTTAAAATAAATATAAGCATTTAAAATAAATATATTTTTAAAAAAGTATTCCTTGAACACACTTCCAAGTAATGTTTTTCGTGAAGAATTTTTCATTATTCTTTCAAAATGATTCTCATATGTTACTCTACGAAGCTCTTCTCGTTATGAAAAAAAAATCCAAACTACTAGCATATCATCTTAACAATCGGTTTATGAGCAGAACTATTTTTTTTTTAAAAAAAAAGGTGATTCAAATTGTCATGAGCCTTTTAGCTATCTTGTTTTATTTTAGAAAAATAAAACCGATGTTCATTGCTTGTTCTCCTAAACAATACTTTATTTATTTTATAATATTTGTTTTCCTATTCTTTTAAATAATTCTTCTATTTTTTTCAAAAAAATATTTTCATTACTTGTTCTACTAATTTTAGGAAAGTATTAATTTTACTTGATCTCTTAATTAAGCATTCTCATTACTTATTCTTATATTTTTAAGGGAAACATTCCTAATAATTATTCTCCTATTTTTTAAAGGAAATATCTTCATTACTTATTCTATTATTTTTTAGGTAAACATCCTCATTACTTATTCTACTATTTTTTAAAGAAATACTCACATTACTCATTCTCCTATTTTTTTAGGAAAACACTTATGTTACTTATTCTCCTATTTTCATTAGGAAAACACTTTCATTACTCGTTCCACTTGATAATTCTTTTTTTTTTTATTTTTAGAGAAATACTAATGTTATGGTTTATACTTTCATACATTACTTATCTCCTAAGTAATTCTTTCATTTATAACATTAAAATTTATTTATTTTATACATGGAACATTCTTTGATCCTTATCAAAGAAATTTCATGCAGTGGGCAATGAACCTACCATGCGCAATAAGCAATCAAAATATATATGTTTTTTAATAAGGTGTACATTATTCATCCTTTGCTCTTTCATTATACTCATGCATGAAAACTTCTTATGTGTAGAATTCTCATGCAGGGGGCAAACTTATATCATTCATATTTAAATTATGAGAATAAATATATCTTATATTTTACTTTGACTCTTTATTTGTATTAATACATGAGAACTTTTTATACTAAAAATTCTCATGTAAAGGGCAAAATTAAGATACTTGAATTTGGTTACTAATATTTTATTCTTTTAAATTTCTCTATCATTCGTCTATAAAATTATGAGAATATATATATCTTATATTTTACTTTAACTGTTTAATTGTACTAATGCTTGAGAACTTCTTATACTAAGAATTCTCATTGAAAAGTAAAACGTAGATACTTAACTTTGGTTATTAATATTTTATTCTTTTAAATTTCTCTAAAATTGCTAAAGTTAAAGATAAGTCAAAACAAGTAATAAGGTTGTTTTTGTGTAGATTGCTTTCCTAAATGGCTATTCATAGAATAACTTTTTCATAGAACAACTATTTAGGGAACAACTATTCAAAAAATAATTTCTCTATGTAACAACACCTTTATAGAACAACTATTATCGGAATAACTTCCTCAAAAAACTTCATCAACACCTTTACCAAAAACTTTTTCACCAAAAGTTACTTCAGTAAGAGTTATTTTACAAAAGGTGCTTCACTGAATGTTACTTCACCGAAAGAAAAAGTGAAAATAAACCCAGAATATGACAAAGTTCTTGGGCTAATTTCACTATTGGAATATTTCAAAGAGCTTGGCTTGGTGGATCAAATATAGAGATATTTAAAAGGTTTCCTCTTAACCTTTCTCTGAAATATAAGTGTTTCTCCATTTTCTTTCAAAACAGATAGTGAACTTTTATGTTTAGTATACCTAATATTAAAAGCTAATTAAAATCTCATTAACCTATACATTAACATCTTTTGTAATAGCCAATTCCCCATTATTCATTATTATTTATATTTAATACATTAATACCTTTTATAGCTATCAATTTCACCATTATTACTATTCAATACTCAATAAATGTAACTCCTATTCTTGAAACCTATAAATATGAGTTTTCTCAATTCATTAGGGGACTTTTGGAGACTTCTGACAATTTTCTCGACAATTCTCTCTTCCTAAATCCTTTTATCAACCTTACTCTCTTCTCTACCCAGCCACACGCCATTGCACTCAACACTTTTGGGTTTGCTCCAATCTTCCTTTCCACCCTTTCTCAGTACATCTTATTCTACTTAGTTTCAACGCTTCATCACGTCAACAAATAACCCTTTCACACCAACTATTTATTTTCTTTACATTATAAAAAGTTTGGCTTTCTATGCATTGCATTCAAGGTTGATTGATCCTTTTGTTCTTAACAATAGTTTGGTTTTTAGGTTTTAATTATAATAGAGAATTAATTTTGATGATGTTATGGAAGATTAGGCCTTGCAATTATGTAATTGAAGATTAAAAATTAATTTCAAATTTATTTCTTTACTAAAATTATGATACGGATTTATCTGAAATGATATGAAATTATGAAGTAATTATATAAAAATAATGATATGAAATTGTAAATGAATTATATGCAATTGTGAAGCAAACATATCTATTTTTTTTTTCTCTTTAATTTGTGTAGGAAACTTGTGTAGTTGTGAAAGAACCTGAATTGTTCTTTTCTTTGTTGTCAAACATAGAAATGCATTATAAAGGATATTGAGAATTGAGATGTTTTGTAACAGTGTATCCATGGCAACTATTTTCTGATCCATGTCATGATTCTTCTTGGATTGTTTTGAACATGTGTATGTTAAATTATTTTATTTTTAAAAACAGTTATGATTTGTTTATAATAAAAAACCAATTGAAATTGGTGATATTGCTTATTTTACATTTGAAGATGATGGATGATATGTCTCAATTGTTTTTGTTGGTGGTATTAATTATCTTTAACTATGCTATATGCATACATTTGATTACAGAATACTGTTTTATAATATTATAATTTTCTTGTACCGAATGCTTTTGCCTTTCGTTTTTTTTTTTTATAAACCCGATCCTTTATATGGTACTTTTTTGGTCATTTTATTGTACTTAAATGTGTTATCAAAATATATTTCATTGTATTTGTATATGCTTTATGTATAGCATGTGTATCATAACATGTTCATATCATGTTATTTTTAATTTCTTTTAAGTTCAAATATATAATTGTAAAGGATTTATTTTTTTAGAGGCTAATAATAATTTAATAAAAAATATCATTAAAAATTTTATTTGCTTGGTAAACCAAACATAAGAAGTTTATATGCACGTTAATTGAATATAATTTTGTAGTAAAGAATTCAACTACCAAAAGTAATTTAAGATTTTACAAATAAAACATATTTTAGATAGTGCTTGATATTATTTTCAAGATTATCATGATAATTTAATCAATAAGATGATTTTATTATTAAGATATTCTTATCATTTGTGATTTAAAATTGCTTATTTTATTAACAATTATTAATTTTTTAAAATTAAATATCATTGTGTTTTAGTATTTTACTAAAGGTCAAACATTATTTTGTTTCAAAATATCGAAATAATCATGTAGATTATAATAATTATATAAGTTGATGATTTCAATATTGTTTAAAAATAGGAATTGTAAAATATTAGTAATATTTTATTTATTTCATAATAAAATATAATTAAATTATTAAATTAAAACAAGACATTTATTCATAGGTAAATTAGTTTTTATAGTACACATTATGTAAAAACAAACTAATCTATTAAAATTAAAAAGATCATATTATATATATAAAACATTAAAAAAGTTTAAAAATCATACAAATTATTTTTGAATTTTTTACAATGAATATTAATTTAAAAATATAAAAATCACATATATATAAAATAATTACAATTAATTTAAAAAAAAGTAAAATTTTAATTATATATTAAATAAATAATAGTGACTACTATTAATTTTATATATCATTTAAATTCGATAATAAAAGTTTTTCATCCCGTAATGAAAATTAAATAATTATTTAAAATAATGATTTGATTATTTTGAGTAATTCAAAATCATTGTCATATAAAATTATTAAGTGATTATTAAAAATAAAGATTCAATCACTATGCATAAATCACCATGCATAAATTATTATAATATTTTAATTAATTACTTCATACTAAATACTAAATGAATTTTGAGAATTGGTATAATAGGATTAGTTTTTTTTTAATTGATATTATATGATTAATTTCTCCTGCAAAACACAAACGATGAAGAAAAGGTTGCAAAATATACATACCGAAAAGAAAAGGATGTAAAATTAATTAAAAAAAAAAAAGGCTTACCATTGCCCGTGCCCACGCGGCAGAGGAACAACGTCAAGGGAAGTCTTCGGACTCTTTCAAAAAAAAAAAGAAAAAAACCGACCATTTCAAAAGAATCCTATTTTGCGAATTCAATGCCGAAATTACTACTTCTTTTCCGGGAATCTAATAATCCCCTAACCTAAAGAAATCTTGAGTCTTTCAGTCAACCATCACGTTCCAACATCCAAACCCTCTAAATTTGCTCTGCAACCTCCCCCTAAACCCAAAATTCAATGGCTGATGCGGTGACGGAACCCTATCTGGGCTCCGAACTGGAATCGCTGGCCATACCACCAATGGATCCGTTGTATCTATCCTCTGATCTGGGGTTTTCTCTCGACGACAATGATGATTTCCAACTCACCTTCGACGACCTCGACCAACTCTACTTTCCCTCCGATTCCGAGCACATGCTCATCCCCGACTTTTCCGTCACACCCGAATCCGACGTGGAAAGGCATCTCAACTCTTCCTCCCCGGAACTTGACAGTTGCAATGGCCCTGATTCTTCGGGTAATTCCCACTCTCCTGTCTCCTCTTTAGGCTCTGGAAATTGTGGTTCGGCCGTTTCCGAAGCCACAAATGTTGCCTTCCCCGATTTCGGAAACATCGTCGATCTAAAGGTTAATGTTGAAGAAATGGGTAAAAGGCGAGTGTCTAAAAGAAAGAAAGACAATGAAGAAACTGATTCCATCAAGTGTAGAAGATCATTGCTGTCCACTGTGAATTACTCTAACTCCGATTCTAATAATAATTCGAATGCGCTGAGCGAAGAGGAGGAGAAAAGGACGGCGAGGCTTATGAGGAACAGAGAGAGTGCACAGCTGTCAAGGCAGAGGAAGAAGCATTACGTGGAAGAACTGGAGGATAAGGTCAGGACTATGCATTCTACTATTGCTGATTTGAATGGTAGGATAGCTTTTTTTATAACTGAAAATGCTACCTTGAGACAGCAACTGAGCACTGTTGGTGGTGCTGGAGGTGCAGGCACTGGAGTCTGCCCTCCACAGCCATTGCCTATGCCAATGTATCCACCAATGACTTATCCTTGGATGCCCTGTGCTCCGCCCTATATGATGAGGCCACCAGGGTCTCAGGTGCCATTGGTACCTATTCCTAGATTGAAACCACAGCAGCAAGCCATACCAGTTTCCAAGGCTAAAAAGAAAGAGAGCAAAACTAAGAAGGTTGCTAGTGTTAGTTTACTGGGTATTTTGTTTTTCATATTATTGTTTGGTGGTTTGGTCCCAATTGTGAACGTTAGATATGATAATACGCCTGTTGGGTTGGGTTTTGTTGGAGATGGGTTTTACAAGGTGCATCGTGGGAGAGTTTTGAGAGTTGATAGTCAATTAAATGGGTCTAATGATAGTAGGGATGCAGTGTTTTCTTATGGTAAATTTGACGTTAGCAATAGAGTTCATGGTAGAGGATCACAGTCTGCTGTTGATCTGAAAGAGATTGGTGCACACAGTGTACCTGCTTATATGGGCAATGGAAGTGAGCCTCTCATTGCTTCCTTGTACGTACCGAGAAATGATAAGCTTGTGAAAATTGATGGCAACCTGATAATTCACTCTGTTCTGGCCAGCGAGAAAGCTGTGGCCTCTCATGAGGCTTCTCAAATAAAGAATAAGGAGACAGGTTTGGTGATCCCTAAGAATGTCTCTCCAGCAGTTGCAATTCCTGATGCCAGAGAGGATGGAGAAAAGCATTCACGTGAATACAGAAATCCTGCAGAAAGACAGATGGCTCTTTCTTCAGGTTCTGCTAACGCTTTGAAGGACCATTTCAAGTCAACTGCTGCTGATGGTAAGATGCAGCAGTGGTTCCGGGAAGGAGTGGCAGGTAATTATTTTACTATTACATTTTATAATTATGTACATCGGGTGATTTTCTGAATGTGAATGTTCTATAAAATGGGATGTAATTTTAACTTGGATGTTGGAAATTGCTGGAAACCAAATAAGGCGTAGAAATTTTTGCGTGGCCACTGACCTGGTTTGCAGGTTAAGGTTAGGTACCTTTACTGCAATCAGTATGAATTCGTAATTGTTATATAATTGCAGCACAAACACAATCAATTTTATCCTATTCTGCTTCTCTTGACCATTTGCTGCAATCAGTGTGCTGAGTAGAATTTTATTTTTCTGTTCAAATAGTCTTGGTTTTATTGTGGTTGATAGATGGCAGAAACTCTGCAACCCCACTCCCCAACCAAAAAAAAAGGGAAAGAAAAATAAGTAAAAGGAATTAATGATAGCTAGTAGCTAACACGCGATTTAACAGTAGATTTGAATGTGAAGAACAAATTAATAATTTTTCACAAGATTTAAAAAATAACTCTTAACTAGGATCTGAAGCATGGATTTAAAAATTAGTTTATCATGTCTTGGTAATATTGTTAATTTTTTAAAGCCTGTCATTATATTTTTAGCCTTTTTTTGTCTCAAAATTGAAGTAAAATCAATTGTATAGAGATGAATGGAAGTATATCACCTCTAATTATTGCATTACAATTAACCAATTATAATTCAAAATTGTTTAAGATCCACCAAAATTTTATATGGAGCCCACATTTCATGGTGAACTCTTTCATAATTTTTTATTATAATTGGATAATTGTAAGACTACAGTAAAAAAAATTGGAGGTGAAATGCTCCCAACTATGCTATTCGTGCTTGTGTCATGTACTATTTTGACTGTGTTTCTTTTGTCTTCTCTTTTGTAGGACCAATGTTGAGTTCTGGCATGTGCACTGAAGTGTTCCAGTTTGATGTCTCTGCTGCGGGAGCCATTGTTCCTGCTTCCTCTGTTACCAATGTTTCTGCAGAACATAGTCAGAATGCTACGCAGCTTAACAAGGGAAGAAACAGAAGGATTCTCCATGGTCATCCTGTTTCTCTCTCTGGATCTGATCGTAACATAACCCAAAAGCATGTTGGAAGAAATTCTCAAAAGCAAAAATTTCAAGGTAATAAAACTGCTTCTTCTATGGTAGTCTCCGTGCTTATTGATCCCAGGGAGGCTGGTAATGGGGACATGGATGAGATGATTGTACCCAAGTCGCTTTCTCGGATCTTTGTTGTTGTGCTTTTAGATAGTGTCAAGTATGTTACATATTCTTGCGTGCTTCCGCGATCTGGTCTGCATTTGGTGACTGCATAAGGACAAAAAACTAGATGCTGTAGTGAGAGAAAGGCTTGCTATTTTGGCTTCTAGTTTCTTCTTTCTAATATGATATGATAGACTAATTATTAGCCATAGCGTCTGGGAATAACTTCTGTAACATTTTAACCTCCCAATGTACTTTGGATTGCTTTTAATATCCTTAACTTTGCTATACCATGACAAACCGCTGTACTAATATGGAAATATTTGCTCAAATTTAGAGCCATGCCATAATGCCATCTGCTCATCTGTATGGAAAAGTTTGGAGCTATACTTTTACATTATGTTTGGTTGGAAGGACAATAGAAGGAAAAGAAAAAATAAAGAAAGGGAAGAATAGTTTTTTTTTTTTTTTTTTTGTATTCCATATGAAAGAAAAAATAAAATAAAATAATGGTAAAATTATAAATAAAATGTATAATTTAAGTAAAAATATTATATATTTTTAAATTTGGAAGAAAGATAAGGGTGTAGTTGAAGCACAGCTCCTTTTTCCATTGGAGAGCTTCCAAGGAGGCTGGCTGAGGGGTGGATAGCTAGGGAGCACTCTTCGTTGCATCACATGGCCATCCAAATATAGTCAGTCTTATAGACAAACAAAAAGAAAAGAAAGAGGAAAGAAGCACAACTTTGCTCCCATTAGCTTTCCCATCTTTGATTCCTCTTTTCCTCTCATCATATTTCAGTGTTAGAAAATCCAATCATGTGCCTAATGATGCTTTTAGTTGAAGGTTTTTAGGATTTGGATTCTCTTGTTTTGTGCACTGCCAGGAGGATTGAGAGTTGGTGAGCCAGTGGTAACAGATGGAAAAATGCCCAAAGAAAGATGGTGTGTTATTGCTATATTTTATCCTAGTTCGACTACTCACAAAATAGGGTATGAAGGTTATAATATAACAAATTCATAAGTATTTCATTTTAATGAATAATCAAATTATGGACATTTTAATATTTTTATAAATATTGGATCATATCAAACAAAATGTCTTGTGAGTGGTTTGACCTATGTCAGTATTTTGTAACATTTAAAAAGGGCAAAATTATAATATTTTTGTAAGTTTTTTCAATATAAAAATTGAAAATAGAGAGTTTTCATAAATCATGATACTCTTCTTGTTTAAGAATTATAGTTTTCATTTTTTTAATTTCCTGTAATGGATTGATTATAAAATTAATAGAAATAAAAAAAAAATGAAAGAGGGAAGGAATTAGGAGAAGGATAAGTTATTTTTTGTCATTTATATTTATTATCAACAGAACTTAAAGAATTACATTCATTAAGAATAATTAAATTGAGAAATTAAAATGGAAAAATTAAGTTGAGCTTGATTGAAATAAAGTTTAAAATTTTAGAGATTTAATTGAATAAATTCTATATTCTAAGGGGTCAATATATAAAGTGCAAATACAATCATAAAATTGATCAAGGGCTGCCCATTCTCCACTCTATTTAACAAGGGCTTAGCCATCCCCCTTATGAAGGCTATTCATTAGTTTTAGCCATCTCTTTTTGTGGAGAAATCACAAAAACTTGAGGCTGGAATTAGGTTTCGGCTTTGGCTATCCCTTTCTCATCTTGAGTTTTTTTTTTTTTTCATAAAATGTAAATTTAAATGATTTAAATTAAAATCAATAAAATATAACTCTACTTCAAATGAATCATTCAAATCAAATTTTGATTTAACTTTTATAATTTTGATTCAAATCAATCATTAAATAATATAATTTACCAAAATTCAAAATAACTGAAATTGTCATCAAACCGTGAGCCGACTTGACCCGTTTAATTGCCACCTATATATACCTAACCCATTTATGATATATTCAATATCATACCCGTCCGTTTGGCAACCCGCTTGAGTTTTAATTACCTGGCACGTGGAAAGCGATGCGAGCGAGTGAAAACTGGAGTGGTAGTTGTGATCACAAAAAGACGAAAATGTTAGGTCCGCCAAAGTGGCTTTGGCAATGCTTTTATCTTTATAGTTGTTAAGTAAATTGAAAAGGAAAAAGCTTCGCAATCTCACCAACCCTCCACCGACTGAAAGTGGGTCCCATTACCTCTATTTCAGATCATAATTTACCCAACCACAACCTACAATTGTATAAAAAAGTGAGTTTTTTTTTTTTTAAGAAAATATTTTTTAATAAAAAATAAAATGATATATGCATTTCAAATTTTACATTATTATTATTATAAATTTATATTTAATACATTATTATTATATAGATATTATGAACTTTAAGTTATATTGGTATATAAAATTATAATAAAATAATATAATATTATATTATAAACACGATTAAATTAAATAATATTATCATATTTTTATTTAATATGAGTAAGAATTAAGATACGATTATTTATTTATTAATCAAAATTAATTTTTTAAATTTATATAATTTAAATTATTGATGTAATTTTTAAAGATATAATAAAAAATATGAGTTTAATATTATGAATTAAAAATAATCATTTTCACTTTTAGAATATTAAATCATCCTATACAAGAAGATAATAATTTTTTTTGTAATCATATCCCTTTCAATTAGATATAAACTAAACATAATATAAAATAATTATCATATTATCTTATCTATCATCTTTTATCAAATATGACCTTAGTGTTTTATAAATATCCACTTCTTAACAAATAAAATTAAAATTTAAAAAGTTTTAATATGATTAAATATTTTAAATTTAAAAAATATTTTTAAAAACTTTAAAATTTTAAATTTGTTAATTAATGATGTGGTTATTTTGTGATGGAGTGATAATGTATAGTATCTAATCAAATTTCTAGTTTATTATTATGTATAATCATAAATATGAATTCAACATGAATGAATTTTGTTAAATTTATGAATTATTCGTTTAATTGATTAATATTGGAATATTGTTCATAATTTTTTGTTAAACTTAATAAAAAAATATAAAAATAAACAAAGACTAAATATATTCAAAAATTATTCGTTGAACGTTCTATTTATTTATATCTCGAATGTAAATCAATTAAATATTAATGAATTTTATTATATTTATAATTTATTTATTTAATTAGCAAACCCTACTATATAGTTTATATAAACAAATATAAACGAATAAAAACTGAGTTTATTCATAAATTATTGATCAAACATTTTATTCATTAACAATCCTAATCACTTAACGAATAACACTAAATTTAGTCTATAACATTGTATATAATAAAAAAAAAATTAAAATGATGAATGTACTACACAAAATCTATGTTAGAGTTTAGCATATTACTCCTCTCATTTTGTTTGTTCGTCTATTTATTTTTCCGGTATATTAAAATTTAAACCAACAAGTTAAGTAAAGCTTATCCGTTAATTTAAAAAATATAATTTTAAATTCAATTGAACTATTGCTTCTATTATATTGGTGTATCTCTTTTCTGCTTTATTGAGTATTTTATGTGTAATAATACTTAATATATGGGTTAAATATAAAAATATCATGTATTATATATTTTATGTCAATTTTGTACTTGAAAAAAATAAAATTCATAATTAGATATATCTTATTCGGAGGTAAACAATTAAAAAAAAAATTAAGAGTTTAAAGTAAAAGACTCACCTAAGGATGGTAACGGATCTGAGTCGAGACAGATATTTGTTCGTCTCGAATCTGATCCGATTTTATATCCGTCAAACTCGAATTCGATTTGATTCAATTTTTTTATTTTGTTAATACTCGAATTCAAATTCGACCTGATATTATATAGATCGTATTTAACATCGACCTAAAATTAATAAAATATTATTTTTAAAATATAAAATATTATTTTTTTAAATATATAATTATATAAATATATAAATAAAAAATTAATTTAAAAATTATTTTTATATAATATCATATCGAATTTATTTAAAACTTGAATCTAATCTTTTTATTAACGTTATTCGATCCAATCCGACTCGAAATTCGATTTAAAAAAAAAATGATCAGATCGAATCAAATTAAAACTCATAAAAATCGGATTGAATTGTCCTCCTAGACTCACCTGATCAAATAAATAAAATTCAAGATCAAAGAATCTTCAATTACTTAGCAATGTTAACTATTAAATGTAAAATTCATGATGAAGCCTCAAAACCTATTAAGACAGCTAGCACAACACACATGGAAAAGAAAAGATTGAAAAATCAGTTACAAAGTACTTTAATGTAAAGAAAATTAATGTGATGTATATATATAGGCATTCCTCAACCGAAAGAAACAATCGAAACATCCAATGACATGTACATATTAACATAATTAAAAAGACAACACCCTTTAGAGATTACATTAATTAGACTGGATATATGGTACTTTGTGAATTTATAATCACAACAAAGTAAGAAAAAAATGAGAAAAGAAAAAAATAAATTCATTGCTCTATTAAATTCAATGGCATTTCCAAGCTGAGCTAATCCAACTTGAGGCAATTTAAATTTTTATATTTTTTTATTTATCCAAATTAATTAAAAATAAAGTAATTAACATAATTATTTGATATAACATCGGTTTAAAATTTATAGTTAAAAAAATGTTTTATCATTTTCTTATTTTTATTTTTATAAAATAAAATCATATAATTACAATTCAAGCATTTTTAAATTATAATTTAATTTTTTAAAAAACTTTTTATTAAATCAATCGTTACGAATTCAAATTATGTCAATCTCAAATATTTTGACAATTAAATTTATATCAATTAAATTTTTTAAGTTTGAATCTTTGAATTTTTTTTTTGTTAAATCCAAAGTAATCTTAGTTTTGTGTTGGATTGATTTAAACGAAGTTTGGGATTTGGGTCAGTTTTTACAATTCTACACCAAATCTTTTGGCTAATAAAAAAAAAAAAAAAGTCTCACCTCAAACGGTCAAACCATTAGAACGAGCATAGATGCCTGAATAGGCTTGATAACAGCATTAAATGTTTAATCTTGTTTTACTTAATTTACATGAATTTACTTCAATTTTAATAAATTTAACGCTTTTATAGTTTTATTAAAATTGATTAATCGATAAGTATGATAAAATTTGCAATTAATTTTGGCAACGTGTCTTTTTTATGATGTAACATGCCAACGCAATTTTATTTTGTTACATGTAGTATAATTTTTTAATTAAAAATTAATACATACCATGATGTCATGTCATCGTCAAAAATCAATCAGAATGTCATAAAATTTAAAATAATGAAAAATTTTAACATTATTAATAATTATTTTTAAATTAATTTTTAATAAAAGTATAAATATTAAATTTATTAAAATTGAAGTAAAATGATTAAAGCAAACAAATTGAAAAAAAAAAAAAAAAACAAATTCAAAATTCAACCTAAGTTGTAAACTTGACTCCGATCAAGCGTTGAAGTATTTTTACACGGAACTTGAGTCCACGTCTACCTTTACCCAGGCTTGCATCTCATTCAGAAAACACAAATAAACAAACAAATGTAATAGTTTTAATGCTTAAGTATAAAATTTTTTTTAATAAAAATTAAATAATTATTCAAAATAATATTATTTTATTAAAATCAATTAAATTTTTAAATATTTATTTTCATTTAATTAAATTATTAAATTAAATGAAAATAAATATTGACAGTTAATAAATTTTATTTTATATGAATTTGAAAATAAATATTTAAGAATTTAATTAATTAAAATAAAATAATAAAATTTTGAATAATTATTTAATTTTAATTTACAATTTTTTTATATTTATTTCTAATTTTTACTTGTCAAATAGTTGACCGTGCTTGTTGTTTGTTTGATATCCATAAAGAAACAGGGAGTTGGTGGTGGAGTGGTGGCGGACTGCCAGCGTCACCCGATGGCCAAAAATGGTTGGCGGCACAGACTCCAATCTTTGCGGCTTTCCTTCCCTAACGCACATAGTATTATGGACTTTGAATTTCTTTATGGATTCAACCATAATTGTTAATTAAAAACTCTCTCATGTTTGGTCTTTATTTTTTAAGCTATATACGAGTGTGTAACCCCGGTTGTGCCTGAAATTAAATATTTTTATTTTAAAATATAAATTACTTAAAGTTTTATTTTAATAAAAAGTCTATTTATTTAGCTCATTTAATGATTTGGTTTTAATTATTTTTAATGAAAATATAATAATTCATGAATAACATATTTACATATTTTAATTATTTGAAATTAAAATTTATTTAATTGTTTAATTATTCAAAAAAACTATTGTGTTCTATTTCTTAAATTATTTTTTTATTATTTAATTAGCTATGAGGAAATCAACCTAAATTGGATGTTACAACATGGTGGTTGATGAGACAAATTAATTTCTTCTTCTTCTAATATTTCATTCTTAAAAATATATATATATATATATATGAGAGAAAACATCATGTTCTAAATATATATATATGAGAGAAAACATCATGTTCTAACTCTTACTTTAGTATAGAGAAATTGAGAATTATCCTTTTTTTTTCCTCATTAGCACCAAAAGGGACCACTGAGAGTGAAAAGCTCGACTCCAATGCCACTTACATTGTTTTAAAGACATTTACCTTAAATAAAAATGACTTTTTTTGTTCATTTTTCTTAACATGTTTATTTATTTAAAACAACTTGATTATCTATGGGCTATGGATTAGGAGAGCCCACCACCTCACCAACCTTTGATTCCCCCGCAATCCACATACTTCCTTCCAATTTTTCACCTCACCAACCAACCAATCCCACCAATATTACCCAGTGCGCACCTATTCCATCACCAACCACTAACCAGGCATGCCTCTGATGTGTGCTTACTCCATTGGCCCTTCACCAGCACCCTCTGCTTTGTACAAGTGAAGATATCAGCCCCTCCCAATTGCATAATAAGTCTAAAAGCTTTGAAAAATCAATTCACCAACTCCCTCTCTCCTATATATCAACTTCCTACCCAACGCTTGATCATAAAATAAGAACCATTTTCTCCCTAAAATCAAAATTAAACCACAAAAAAATAGAAATGAGTCTTCCTCTAATAATTACCGTCTCAATCATCGCCATCTTCTTAGCGAACACGCTTTACCAACGGCTAAGGTTCAAGCTCCCGCCAGGTCCACGAGCATGGCCGGTGGTAGGGAACCTTTACGACATAAAGCCTGTTAGGTTCCGGTGTTATACGGAATGGGCGCAGGCATACGGTCCGATTATATCAGTTTGGTTTGGTTCGACTTTGAACGTGATCGTGTCGAATTCGGAACTGGCTAGGGAAGTTTTAAAAGAACACGATCAACAGTTGGCTGATAGGCATAGGAGCAGATCAGCAGCAAAGTTTAGCAGAGATGGACAGGACCTTATTTGGGCTGATTATGGCCCTCATTATGTTAAGGTAAGGAAAGTGTGCACGCTGGAGCTTTTCTCTCCAAAGAGGCTTGAGGCTCTGAGACCTATCAGAGAAGATGAGGTGACTGCCATGGTTGAATCCATCTTCATCGACTGCACCAACCCTGGTATGAAACTTTTGCTTTTCTTTCATTTTTTTTATTGATTGAAAAAATTATTCGAATCCACTTTTGAAATAGAGAATACATACAAATTTCAATGAACCAAATTAGCATTTCATTTTTTTTCCTTTTCAAACATACAAAATTTTTTATTATTATTTTTTCTAGTTTTGAAAATCTCCATCAAAGTGTTTTAATTGTATTTTTTTAACGAGACCACGTATGAATGAAAATGATAGAATTAGGACAAATTAGTAGTGATTATAAACTATAATAAACGCGTCATAAGTGAGTAGAACAAACACTTCGACTTGACTCTAGCCATTTCCTTTTGGACAATAGCTACGGGCATTTGGGGCCGGCCGCCGCCCTCCCCATAAACGTTATTTTTAAGAGTATATTTACTTTGCATGTCATTTAAGATAATTCTTAAAAAAAGAAAAAAGTTTAATCTTTACTATATATGTTTTTTTTTTTTTCTCGAGGATGAAACGTAAATTACCTCTCGGACAACAAAATTCTCTTCATAAGGTTATAATGAAGTACTAATGTTAAATGAATTTTTTTTTTACTCAAAACTTGTCAGGAAATTGTTACCTCATCTAACCCCAAAAAATAAATAAAATATTAGAGATTAGATATAGGTAATCTTTTGACTTTTTCCGTTTGACGTTGCAATTTCACTTTCATTTGGCGTGAATACGTTTCTTGACTAGGATGTGTGACCAACTTCTTCCTTTTTTTTTTTTTTAGCAAATTCCAAAAAATTTCAATAAAAAATAACCCACCTATCAATTCTGTCGCCCAAGCTTTTCGGTATTTCTCTTGATCTCTGGTGGAAATGGCTGTCTGATTAAGTAAATCTAGACTCTCTTTAATTCAAAGGCAATTGAATGATTCAACTAAAAGATTTGCTCCGCGTTGACCCCTTGATACTGGCTTTCCCCCCAACTTATTCACCTTAAGTGATATATTTGTAAAAGTTATATTCGATGCATTATTAATATATAAATATTATATATTATTAATTAATTATATTTTGATATTTTATAAAAAATTTAATTTTAAATATATTTTAAAAATTTTAGTTTTAAAATTAATTTTTATATAAAATATTATATAATTTATTAACAGTGCATGATATTTATATACTAATAATATATCGTATCTATAAACTGTTATGAGTAATTTCGTGGTTTGTGTAATTAAGTTAATTTTGTGGCATTCCAACAATACCTAAAAGTTGGTTGAACTTGAATGCAAATTTCGATGCAGAAAGCAAGGGTAAAAGTTTGCTAGTAAGGAAATACTTGGGAGCGGTAGCATTCAACAACATAACAAGGCTAGCTTTTGGGAAGCGTTTTGTGAACTCTGAGGGCATAATGGACGAGCAAGGCCAAGAATTCAAGGCCATTGTGGCAAATGGGCTTAAGCTTGGTGCATCACTTGCCATGGCTGAACACATTCCATGGCTTCGTTGGATGTTTCCATTGGAAGAGGAGTCATTCGCCAAGCATGGGGCACGGAGGGACCGTCTCACTAGGGCTATCATGGAAGAGCACACCCTTGCCCGCCAGAAGAGCGGCGGTGTCAAGCAGCATTTTGTTGATGCCTTGCTTACATTGCAAGACAAGTATGACCTTAGCGAGGACACTATTATTGGACTTCTTTGGGTAAGCATGTTTACATTTTGGAGATTACTGGTAAGTTGGGGTCCATAGCAAGCAAAGTCAATTCTAACAAAATAAATTGAATATGCAGGACATGATCACTGCAGGCATGGACACAACAGCAATCTCGGTCGAGTGGGCAATGGCCGAGCTAATTAGGAGTCCAAGAGTACAGCAAAAGGCACAAGAGGAGCTAGATCGTGTGATTGGATTCGGACGGGTGATGTCTGAAACTGATTTCTCAAGTCTGCCTTACCTTCAAAGCGTAGCCAAGGAGGCACTAAGATTGCATCCACCAACTCCTCTAATGCTGCCCCACCGTGCCAATGCCAATGTGAAAATTGGTGGCTATGACATCCCCAAGGGATCAAATGTGCACGTTAACGTATGGGCAGTAGCCCGTGATCCGGCTGTGTGGAAGGACCCTGAAGAGTTCCGGCCAGAACGATTCCTGGAGGAGGACGTGGATATGAAGGGTCATGATTTTCGATTACTTCCATTTGGTGCAGGGAGGAGGGTATGTCCCGGTGCACAACTTGGGATCAATCTGGTCACATCCATGCTGGGTCACTTATTGCACCATTTTACTTGGACACCAGCCGAGGGAGTCAAGCCTGAGGAAATTGACATGTTTGAAAATCCTGGACTGGTTGCTTACATGCGGGCTCCATTGCAGGCTATGGCCAATCCTAGGCTGCCTTCCCATCTGTACTCACGTGTGGCTGTTGATATCTAAGTTTTCTCCTCAATTTCTTCATCTTGTTGTCCTTAATATGTTGGATTTTGAACTCTTTTTACCAGTTCGGTTGTATTATCAATTATGTCTCGAGTGATCTGTGATTGGTTGGATGAAGAGGACCAAATAAAAACGCAACGACATAATCTTTTCACCCAATCACAGAATGCCATATTGTCTTTATATTTTTTACAAAAGAGATGATAGTACAGAGGATAGGAGATACTAAAATTTGAATCAATACAATACTTATTGGAAGCTATTTTTTAAAAATAATTATAAGAATTAATTGAGTTAATTTTCGAATTCAATGCCATAGAATCTTTCATCTCATAAGCACTCTGATTAAAAACTATTTTTCTATGGCGAGGTAAGACTTCAAGGAAAATGCAGATGCCGATTAAAACAGAGTTTACACAAGTATTAGTCGTCAATCCAAATCTATGAAACCTGGCAATGCCATAAGAGTTAACCTATTTCTTAATAGGATATTAATCATCAAGTTAATACCTACTTTTCCTCTTTTGTTTTTCTTTTAATCATGAGAACCTGCACACTATAAGTCAAGTGTAACTTACAATAACAAATAATCAAAATCAAGAACTCCAATTAACATAACATTGCTATATTGTAGAGATCCAACCTAAATTGAAAGGTATTTTCCACTCCAAAATATATTTGCTTTTCAGTGATTGCATCCTTGGTGCAGACGAAAGACCATATAGAATTGCAAAAGAAATTAACTAACGCCAATCATCAATCCCATTAATGCTAGTCATACAAACTTGGCCAAAAAAGGGTGCAGGTCATACAAGCAATCAAAAGAATCTTAAGGTTATGTTTGGATGGGTGGTGCGATGAAGTCGGGGGTGCCCCCCACTCCACTACACCCCCAGTTGAGACCCTTTGGTCCAGCGAAAAGAGGGCTCAACTACGGACCGCCCATCTAAACATACTCTAAGAAATAAACAAGAAAAAGATATTTAAAAGCAACAAAGAAAAGTATATAATTAAATCCAATTCATTGACATCAACATGTATACAAAGCATTGACAAGAGAAAGGTTATACAGACAAGACTGCAGACACAATATACATATTAAAGAACAAAAACAAGTTCCTTATTGTCTTGCGTTGAAATGGAGTGGATAGCGATATCAGTAAACAGTTATTTGATTATATAAACATGATATTACACATAGTTCATAAGAAACTTTCCTTCTTTATTCTTAGTAATTTCAACCTTGAAATTTTCTTCCTTATTGCCCCTCCTTAACTTCAGAAGTAACTCAAACCTTATATAATCTTCAATTACCTGCATTTAACCAAAGAAACTTCTTCAATAAACTATGAAACTTTTAAGTGAGAAAAAATGATCCTGTCCAGAGGGGAAATGTAAAGATAACAAATGGATTTTTTTTCTCTCTGGAAGGAGACCTAGAGGCAGGAGAGTTTGGGGCTTGATATGTGGTTTAAGCTAATAAATTAATTACTATATTCACAAATGCAAATGCTTTCATTCCAATAGAACAACAGTCGCAGAAAAAATGAACATAAGAAAAAACCAACCTTGATCTTAGCTAGAAGGATTTCTAGAAGCTCATAAGGGAACAATGAGTTGGATCTCTGCTGAATGGACTTAATAGCATGATTTGCAGCATCTAGGACCTGAGGATCATTTGTTGGCACTGTTTGCCATCCTAGTTTAGGACCATCTGATTTACAGAATGTACCAATCATATCACTACTTTCTTTCTTTTTTATATGAATTACTGAATGACTCAATGATGCTTTCAAACAAGAAGAAATTAAATGTGAAGGCCAAAAATTTTTTTAAACACTTCATTCAAAGCATAAAAGCAATATGAAGCTCAAGAAAACTTAGCATTCTAAACAAAAGCTGGTTCAGGGGTTCAAGCAAAAATGCCAGTCTCTGTTTCTAGGATGTGACAGGAAATACCTTGTTAAGTAGCATAAATATAGTTAATATATATCCTCTCAAGCACATGAAACTATAATAGTACTTTCTTTTCATCTTCCTTGTAAGGAATAGACACAATACATCTAACACAGAACTGAAATCAGGAGAATTGGTTCACTTATCATCAAGAAAAAGGATGATGGAAAAGATAACAAAGAAAACTTTACTTACCATCAAGAAAAACGATGATGGACAAGAAAAAGTTCATTCAGTCTGAAACTCATCCAAGAATAAACATTAAGAAGAAAAGGAATGAAGAAATGAAAGAAACTAAGCAGAAAAGAACATCACAACAGAAAACTAGTACATACTAGATATAAAATATTAAGCATCTTCATCTTTTGCAAAGTATTAAATGCTTAATCTTTTATTCTTTCTTTGCTATGGAACATCTGTTTAGTTCATGCGGAATCATAGCAGAAGACAAATAAGCAAGATATAAAAAATAATAAATGCGTAATTCCATTTTTTAATTCTTCAAAATATTGTTTGGTTTTGTATTGAAATGCAGCTTTGGCGTTTTTTTTTTTTGGCTTTCAAAAGCAGAAAGCAAGTGCAAGAATAATGACCAAAGGAATCCTAATAGCAAGCACGTTCATAAAAGTATGAAAAACTATACTCCAGATCATAATGCAGTGAATTTTTATAAGTCAAATCCACTGTTAACCATTTGAAAAAAGCTTCCAAAAATATCAAATCTCTGATTACGATTTAAGTCAATTTTAAGAGGATAAAACTATTTACCAGTTTAAATAGAAGCCACAAAAGTCTACCAGAACATTTCTAAAACAGCCGAATGAAAACCCAAAACCTACATGACTTGGTCATGCCTCAACCAAAGAGAATTAAGATTAACAATAAGCACTAAAATCTTTATTTCCTTCCACCATGCACCCGGATAAAGTAAAACTTCTAGCAAAGGCAAGTTCCAAGACTGTAAAGAAAATATCAGCATTTTACATATAATAACTAGTCTAAGCGATAGTATGACAGTGCATCATTCGTTCAAATTGGCATCTATCTATTACACGGAGCTACAGTTGCTACAAAAGTATATCAGGCATCTAACGAGTTGCAAGGAAAACCATAAACAACTATCTTTCACGCTTTATTATACAAAGCAACTTATCTGACAATTTATCTCTGATAACATGAATAACTGATATGTAAACAAACAGCAAATGACAAAAAAAAAAATAAATAATAAAAAGGATAGAAAATCACCTGGAGCAGGCTTGAATTCCTGCAATTGCTTAAAGTTGATCCATGGCTTCACCCATACTTTGGCTTCATACACAGTATTTTTACCGGCATCCACAACTTCCAGTGTAAGATGGTATATTTTACCGGCAACCACCTGTTCCTTGGCCTTCAACACCCTTGATAATTCAAGAAAAGCATTCTGCAAATATCCAATTTTTATAAAAATATAACTATATCTAATCTATCTCTTTACTTCACATATTTTTAGAATTATTTCTTTCTCTTCCTCTGTTTTCAACCCTTAAATTCTTGGGATAATCAATATCATTGACAGCAATTATCTTTTAAAGAAAAAAAGCAGAAAAAACCTGTTTTTGGTTGTGCTGTTGAACGGCAAATTGGGCAAGACTTTGAATCTCGGCGGCGGAGTTATGAGAATCACGGAAACCTCCTAACTTCATCCTTATAAGGTTGTCGTCTCTCTCTCTGCAATCGCCCAATTCCCAAAAAGCACAAAGCACAATTACAACAACAGTTAATCTCCTCCAACCATTCATCTTCGATCCGATTCCTTCTCTTTAGACTATTGGATTTAGGTTAGTTTTACTACTCTTGTGGTCGCCCGGTTTATTTATTTATTTACTTTCTTGTGTGTTTGGACTTTGGAACGTTAGGTGGATCCGTGCCGTGGCTATTACTCCAACCTCCTCGTATTGTCATTGCCCATGGCTTTTTTTTTTTAATTATTTTATTTAAATTAATAATTATTTTAAGTTAAATTGAGTTCCATTTGTTATAAAACTTACTACTTAAGATAATATAATAAAAATAATAAAAACTATATAATTTAAAATTTTATTAAAAATTATATATAAATTTAATAAAAATAAAATATATATTTAATTTTTTTACAATATAAATTATAATATATAATTTTTATATAAAATATAATATAAATAAATTTTATACGATACAAAATTATATATTTAATTAACTAGCTCTTTATTTATTATTTATTCATATATTTATATATCTATACAATTATATCAAAATTGAATTTTGTACTATTTCAATTAAGGTTTTAATTAATCAAATTTTTTATTATTTCATTTTATCTTTAGGTTCCAATGAATTAAAATTGAACTCTTAGTTTTTTTTCACATCATAAAAAAAAGAAAAAAAAAGGGAAAGAAAATGTGCTGTCAAGCAAGCCCAATTAAATAGGATTAATAATAATTATATTATTGAAATATATGAAATAGATAATAAATAACGACACTTTTTGAGTTTATTATTATAAAAATTATCACATATATAATTGATATTTAATATTTTTTGTAATTATAATTCATAATTTAATCATATCATTGATTATTTATTTAAGTAAAAAAATATTAATAATATATTAATTTCAAGGTTTAAAAATCTTAACATTAATTGAAATTTCTATCAACATGCAAGTTGTGTGTTAATTTATTGAGAAACACTTTCATTACCATAGTTATAACAATTATTTTATTTCTTAATACACTATTACAACTAATAAATTTAATTATATTCGTATTAATGAATATTGGAATTTACTATGAAAATTTTTTAAAATTTCTATTTAAAATAAATGCATCATGCGAAACCATTTCTAAAATTTCATTAAAAAATATTATTTTATATTGATATATTAGTATTATTAAATTATATTTTAAATTAAAATTAAATAAAAATATATCATTTCCTACTGAAATAAAAATTATCAAAGACATTAAAAAAATAAAACCATTAAAAAATTTTAATGGTTTTTATCGTAAAATTGAGCATTTAATTGTTCCAAAGTGTAAAATTTTCAATTTATCAAAACGCCGAAATAGAGCATTTTACTGGAGAATTGAAAACCCACACGCTCGTCCGTCCAATAGCCATCTATGGTTATGGAATGACGGAGCAATTTCATCCATTGAAAATGATAATAATATTTTTATGAAAAATTATAACAATTTATTCATGTTAAAAAAACAAACACAAATTTCAGACCCGCATTTTGACTTTTTCAATGGTTAAAAAATGGGCCCGAAATGGATGGGTAGAATCGGTTGAATGGATACTGCCGAATAGGTAATTTTTCAAGTTTATTTGCTTCTCGTTTTTAAATATTTATCATGTATTAATTTTTATAAAATTAAAAAAATTAATTTTAGTATATTTAATATTAAAATTAAAATTTCATATTTTTATTGTCAAAAAAAAAAAAAACATAATTTGAAAACATAAAAAATAGACAAAAATTAAAAGAGTATAAGATAAAAAGATTGATTAAATTAGATAAGTTTCCTGCACTAAACTTATTAAAAGCATAATCAATAATTAAAAAATATAATGTGATCTTATTTAAAAATTAATAATGCAATTAATTTTTAAAAAATAAAAATGTATAGGAGGAAAAAAAAATATTAAATCTCGATATTTTAAGTACTTGAATATTTAAATTAGTGTATTACAATAACAATAATAAAAGATATACAAATTTATTTATAAATTAAGAAGATAAATAAAGTTCTACATTATGTTATTATGAACCTTTCCATTCACCATGTATCTTATTGAAATTTTCTTTAACTCTTTCCACAAAAGCAAATGGTGCTTAATTACCAGTAAATTCAACTATAACTACAACTACAAAAATTACAAAAGTTACAATACCAAATTTATTTGATAAAATGAGTACATGAAACATATGTTAAAGAAATTAATAGTTATGAAAATAAGCAATTATTTCTTGATTAATTTTTTCATACCAAAAGCTAGAATATAGATCTATTATTAAAACAAATATGTTTAGAAAAGAAAAAGATAACTCTTTTTTTCTTTATATTATGCATATAATAAATAAGTTTTGAAATTAACATAAATATGCACGCGCTTGTAAATACTTACAACCATTAAAAAGCTAAGAAACAACAGTTGTTTAACACCTTTAACTTATATCATCAATCTTTTGCAACAACTTAAGGATAAGGCAGAGCATTTGGTCAGTTCGATTAATTCGTGTAAATTTCAAAAACCAATCTATTTGATTTAATTTTATAAAAAACTGAACCAACTGTTGAAACTAATGATAACTGAAAGTAGTTGAATTGACTTAAGTAGTCCGTTATGGTTGTTTATCTCGGTTTTGCCTTATTGTTCACCAATATTCAACAATCAAAAAGTCAAAACAAACCCTTACAACAAAACCTAAAGCAGTACATTACAACTTCAACAATCATATAAACTCAATATAAAGCAAAACCATACAACAGAATCTTACAATCAATGTTTTATAATAAAACAACTCTAAAGCAGTATAAACAGTACGTAAAAGTAAAATGAAATAAATAAAACAAATAATACAACAAAATTAGTTATTTGACAATTTGGGTCACTAACCTTTAATAGTGGTAACCTTCAATTCTTCACTAGTGTAAGACTTGTTAGTGGAGTATTGGAGGAAGAAAACCTAACCAGTGGCTATCTATTGATGGTGGTGGAGTTTATTTATGATTGTTACTAGCTAAATTGTGATTTAGAGAAACAAAGAAAGAGAAGAAATAATCAAAACTTAAAAATAGAAAAGGTGAAATGCTGGCTAGTGGTGGGTTGGTTGATGGTCACTAGTAAGAGGAACTTGGTAGTTACTAGCTACTGAGTGCCAACTATGAGAGGAATCAAAATATCTGTGAGGTGGAAAAGGTGTAAGGGTAAGGCTGTGACAAATAGAATAAATGAAAGAGAAAAGGCTAAGGTTTTATTTAATAAAATGGGAGTAAAATTGTAAAAAGTTAAAAAAAAATGTTAGTAATATATTTATTTAATTTAATTTTGTGTAATTGAATTTCCTTGGTTGGTTCGAATATAAAAATTCACCACTGACAATCGATCTAAAAAACTAATAAAATTGAGATTGAAACCGATATACGCCTCTAAACTGAATAAATCGATTCAAGTTTATCGAATATATGCAGCTTTGTCGGTTCAGTCAATTTCAACTAACAAATGCTTTGCCTTACTTAAAGAGAGCAATAAAACAATATTATTTTTTAATCATATTACTTATAAATTTTAAAAATCTAAAATGCATGCTTAATAAACTCAAAATCTAAACAATTTGACCATAAAAGTTTCTTCATTAGTTAAGCTAATACAAATGTCAAAATTATTGGTAAAGGATGTTCATGAATCTTTTATCATCTCCTTTCTCACATAATATATATATATATATATACATACATACATACATACATATTTTTAAATTTTTTATTAATGCATTTAACATATAGTACAAAGACTTAAAATAAAGTGATAGCAAAAGCCGTAAAAATATAAAAAAACTCAAATCCAGTCATATGTAACCATTTACTTTTATAGATAATACATTTCATCTAAAGAAAGATATCTTAATCCTAAAATCTACATCACTTAAAATATAAATTTGAACTTGCATTAAGAGCATCTGTAAAACAAAACATGTGATTAAGAATTTAAGTTGAAAAGTATTTTCAAACCTTAGCTACAAAGATTTATTTTTAAAAAAATACATCAAATTTCATATAAAAAAAGTAAAAAAATACAAAAAGATGTGAAATCTCACTTTTAAAAAAATTCATCAAGCTTAACTTAACCAACTAAACTTATTTTTCTATGGTTGCGGTTAAAAACACAAAATAATAGTGATTTGTTTTAAATTCCTCCAATCAAATATATTGGGATAAAACCATTTGAAAGAAAAAAAAAGGTTGAAACAAAAGGGTGGAGGAAAAAGTATGAAGAGTAATCGAGCAAAATCAAAAAATAAATGACCTTAGTCCAACAATTAAAAAATGAAAAACATTTGTTACATTCTATCGTAAGTTAGTTTTTATGGAATTTTAAAATGTTCAATATTATTACTTTAAACTCATTAATTCATTAAGTATATAATTGTATTTCTCATTTGTTATCATTAGTCATCTATTTTTAAGTGCAATATTCAAAAAAGACTGTTATAATGAGTGAAATATAGCGAGAAAGCAAAAAATTGGAAAGCCTTTAAGAGCAAATCAATATATTTTCAGCCACTAAACATTACGTAAAGGATATGTATGTATTAAAATCATGTATTTGTGAAGATGAATAAAAGTACATGAATCAGAACTGTGAAGACTGCGAAACCCATATATAAATAAATGATCTATATTTAGAAAACCCCCCAAAAAGATTTAAAAAATAAAAAATCAAGATTTTGAACAAATAATTGAAAGTTAAAAGGGGAGAAAAAAAATGGATAGACCTTGAGATTGATAAAAGTGGTAGCATAAGTAGAACGAATGGAATGAAAAATGTTCTTCTCATTTTGACCCTAAATTCAATTGCCCTTTCTTCTATTTCCAATGAAAAAAGGTTTTTCACGGTTAAAACTCTATGAAACAATGAAACATTGTATAATCAGTATACTCTTTATTGATCTAAATTTTTTTAAGGGAAAAAGAGAAAAATTATGAAAAAAATTAAAAATAGAGGATACAAAGTATCAAAGGTAGTATAACATATTCTAAATTATTAATATCTAAAAACCCATACTAATTTGTAAAAAGTATCTAATAAAATAAATAGAAAAAGGGCTTATGAATCAAAATTATTTTTCAAGTGAAACATAAAAACTATAGGAGTAGAGATGAAAAATTATGAATAATAAAAAATTGAAGAATCAGC